ATGATCATATCTTCATAACCAAAAGTAATATCTCATTCATATTTATCATGATCAAGGTCAATATCAGTCCGGTCAAATTCAGGTCAAAAAACGCGCGCGTGCGCGTACGTCCGCGCGTCATTACGCGCGCAAAATTTTTAAATGCTCGAAATCGTCTTAAATTTTTTTTGCATACGTTTCAGGTCATTTTAAGCATTTTATAAAAAATCGCGCGCACGAGCATGCGCGCGCGTTTTCGCGCGTTACACCATTACACAACATAGAATCGCCATTTTTTTTTCTTTCATGATATTTCTCATATTTTTTCGAGGAATTTGATACCATGTTTATCTCTTTATGACCATTAATAACAAGATGAGCGTCAATTCAAGATAAATGACAGTGCGCGCGAGCGCTTTTAATACATAGCATATATGGGAAAAAACATGCCTATACAAAATTCATTATAGCTCTTTGGAATGAACCGTGACCTTCAATTTTTGTTCATATTTGGATAGAGTATGAGTTGGAGATATGATTCCATGTCTCATTTGGCCATTAAGTGTATCGTGACATCATCATAATGACCTTCGAACTAAAAATAGGAATTTGCATATTATGACGTCAGCATATTTATGGAAAATTGATTGTATCTCTGTATATATTGTTCAATTTTCTTCCAAATTTCGATATGTTGTAGCTATGATAATTGTCTACAAGTTTAAAATTAATTATTCTTCATTTTGATGACGTCATTAGAGTGAAAATTTCGATTAAAGGCCTCATGTCAAAAATGACATAATTTGCATGTTATGCCTATAGAAGGTGATTTTAATTCACGTTATGAATCTACATGATATTGTTTTTTAAGAATTTGTAAGCAGTATGTCGCTTATTTTTGCTCTATTTTGTCTCAAATTTTAGTTGACCAGCCCACCTATACTTGTTACAAACAAGTATTATATGTCTAGTTTCCAATTCAGTCTCCCTGACTCTTATAGTGTCTCACCACGTACCTACTCTTAGTAGGTCCATGATCTCTCTCTCTCTCTCTCTCTCTCTGTGTATCTCTCTAGATTTTTCATTATCCTGTCTCTCTCTGATAATACACTCTGAGCCTTCATTTTCAAATGCAATGCTTCTCTGTCGAGGAGCAGGTGTTTTAATTGTGACAAGCGGCGAAGAGGGCGGCGTTAAGTATTGAGCGTTCTTTTTTGCAACGAAACGTCAAACTGAAGAGTATATGCCAGTTTACACATCGCTGAAACGCGGCCCTTCCTATAGGTAATATCATGCATATTTTAATGCGGCACTTCACATTAGAACCTGACCTTCAAAAAATGATAGACAAGAGTAAGATTCTTTTTTGATGTTCATAAGACAAAAACTGCCGAGTACGGGAAAGACCCCAATTATGTATTCAGAACCTTCTGATAGTTACTCAAACAACCAGCGCTCAAAATACACGGGGGCGGTGGGCGATTCGCCCCCGTGAGCTCCATAATCACTCCCGTCAGGTTGCTAACGGGGGCGATTGCAAAATGAAAAATCGCCCCCGTGGAATTATGAAATAAAGATTATCCCTTCTGATATAACTTTAACACAATATTGAGTATCAATTTTCAAACCTTAAACCAATGAAATGGAACTTAGATGGCGCTTTCTCTCCCATCTCTATGAGTATTACCGATACAAACAACGGAAGCTCGCAGTGCAGCTAATGCCGTCAGCAGTGGCTATACTGCGCCGGTAGTACCGGTGTGCACGCTGGCGCCCAATATCTGCTGGAGCTGGAGACGATCGCACTAGAATTGAAACATGGAAAAGTTTTTCGTTGTGAAAAGTGTGAATCCTCTGAAATCTGGTTATTCTAAAAGACCAGCAAATAATGTAACTCGACCAGTAAACCAATATTGAGAAGACGACCAGCAAAGATACAGGGGCGGATCTAGGCGGTATAGGGGGTTAACCCCCCCCTCCCCCTTGGGCTGCCAGGTGAAAATGTGATGTGCATAGAAAAATGCTATCATGTGTCCAGACCTACACAGTTAGATGCCAGGAAACATAAGGGGGGTTCAAAATAGCACCAAAAAAAAAAAAAAAAAAAAAAAAAAAAAATCGCCTCGCCGCTTCGCGGCTCGTGGACCATGGAACATAGCAACAACAAAAATCGCCTCGTGGCTCGTGGACGATGCTCCACATCGTATTTGGGTTACCCCCCCCCCCCCACCCTTAGCAAAAAGCTAGATCCGCCCCTGTGTTTTGGAAGGATATGGTAAAGACTAAAAGTAAAGAAAGAATGTAAATAAGGTTGCTCCGAATAATAAGGAGAGGACAGTATGTAGAGAACGGGAAGCAATGGAGAGAATGTCATCACGGGGATAAAAGTCAATAACAGCTATGTAACAAGTAAATTATAAGAGGGAAAATGCCGACTTAATTAATTAAATCAATGATAATGATAAAATACCAAGGAATTTAGGAGTTTCATGGGTACCAATTCAATGGAAATTTGTATTAAAATAAGAGCCCCCGTCAGCACTAAAAGAGCCCCCGTGAGAAGGCTCACGGGGCTCTTTTTTTTTTGGAAGAGCCCCCGGTGACAAAAAATTAATTTGAGCCCTGCAAACAAGTAATCGCAATTTTGACAAATTTGTGACAGACTTTTACGGAAAAGAATGAATGTTATTACCTTATAAGTAAATTGAATAAAAGAAAAGTAATTGCATTTGTTTGTTGAGATATGGTTGGCAGATTGTGGGTGTTCATGGACACATACTGTACATTATCTGATTAAGCGTTAGCGTCTCAAGGATTCTGTCATGTATTTCACACGAAATAATATTTGTTTCAAAATATTTGATTTTCTATGAATACTATGATTCATGATAAACATGAGAACATGTGCGGGCGGCTCTATCGAGGTTGTCATCAAATTATATTGTGCAATAAATGTTCACCCAAAACTCGGTGAATTATTCTTGGCTTTATTTATTAAGTTATTTCATCGATTTCATAATACCGACCGACACTGGGCGACACCACCCCCTCTTCCGACATATATATCCCTCTCTCACTCTCTCTCTTGCTCTTTCTTTTGAACACACGCACACCCACGCCCTTACTTTGTAAAGCATACGTGTATACGGTTTTTTTTCTTCAAAACTCTTACCGTTTCTTTCTCTCTTTCTCCGTCTCCCCTTCTCTCCCATTTTAAGCTCTTCTTCAAATTCACCGTTCTTTATCTAAACACAGTCGATGAATACAACATCTACCTAAAGCCCCCTCAAGAATCACCTGCCCCTTCCCATGTGTGTATAACGGGAGGAAACAAGGACACAGTCACTGTTACATGTAAGAGGCTAACTCTTTGAAATCCCCACTCGAACTTTATGCTTCATCCCTTTCACTCGATTCGTGACTTCGTGTAAACATCATCAAAATCACCTCGAAAGCACCTCTCATTAAACTACAATTCATCGTAATAGAGAAATCGAAGGTGGGAGCAAACTCCTCCATTCAAATGGGAGGGGCAAATATTTACTCGGTAAACTTACGCTTTTTTCCCCGAGATCCACTGCCACCATTTTCCTTCCTCTTTCATCTTGCTTCCAATAAGCAGCCCCCAGCCTCTGACGTGTAGGTATTCATATAGTTTGCATTTCACGCCTTATTCACGTCATTTTCCCTCGATATTGACACTGAATCATTTCATGTTTACAAATTAATGATTGAAAACGGTCACCTTTCATCATCTCTCCGGGCTCTCTCTCTCTCTCTCTCTCTCTCTCTCTCTCTCTCTCTCTCTTATTCTATGTTTACTTAAAAAAACTATATCCCTCTAAAACAAATATTAACAGGAAATAAAACAAATAGGTACGAAAAATGAAAGAAAAAAAAGAGAAAAAAACAGAACAAACATGTTTACATTGTACATTGGTGTTCATTAGAAATAAAGATTTGTCCTCGAGGTAAAGATTTTTTTTATTTCTTATAATATGCGTCAGCATATCGCCCCATTGATACAAATATATATAAAAAAAATCGAAAAAAACTACTTCGTTGGCAAAAAAAGAATTGTTGGCCTCCTGTAAATGTAATGCCACGTACGTGGTCTCTATTCCTGGATGTATATCTCTCACCGTCTCCCTCTTTCCTTGTTCTATATCCGTCTCCCTTCTTCTCTGGCACTTCTCTTTATTTGCTTATCACATTTTCAAAGTCCCATAAAAAATGCTTTGAAATTTCCTGATAGGCACAACAAAATATAGGCAAAATGTTGGCTTAAGTAGGGTACGCGTCGTGCCCCCTCTACTCCACGATTGCACCTATAGACCTATCATATGACTTTGAAACTTACAATGAATTCCAGTCATGAACAAATCTAATTTCCATTTACCTAGTAGACAAATTTAAATGCTAAAAATGTAGATTCATATGATGGGTACATGATACATAATTTACTTATTATTCATACATAATAATGAAAGGTGATTAAGATGCACGCAACATTTCTCTAATATCTACGAGGCGTTCTCAATGACACTCCAAGTGAATCAACATCCAATCAGCGAGCTTGTACCAAATATGGTATGGGAGGCACATCAGGGGACGGAAGAGAAGGATGACGAATTTCACGAGTTTTTTTTCGATTATTGTTTTTTAGTTATGCTAGTCGTGTCGTCCCATCGAACGCGTTCACCGAAAAGCGAAACCGCTTTAATAACGAGGGCGGACTATGTGCGACGGCCGTAACGCCTCGTAGATGGTATGTCCGTCTCTGAGCGAAAACTCGCTAATGACGTAAAGTGTAAAATGCTTCACATTTATTTATCTTATAACATAGAGCTCAGTGAATCCTCGCAAGTGTTTTGGGGTTTTTTGCGCGCAGTTGTCATTCATTTACATATATTAAAAAAAAATTATAAAAAAAAACCGGGGCGGCTTTTTGCGGTGGTTTACCGCGCCATATCTGAACAAGCCTTTAACAGTTTGCATGCAGGGGTTAAGTGTGTACTTACCGCTGTTCTGAAAACCTGCAAGTTTGTTCCTGTTTACGGTTGTCTTTCATATGATGTAACAGAACGCCTCGAATGTAGGCTTGTCATCGTCTCAGCCGTATCAAACGCTGTAACAAGAGGGAAGAATAAATCATGCTAATTTGAAATAATAATAATGGAAGGTTTGGACCATGATTCCAAGAGATTGTACTTCTGGAGACCGCTTCATTGAAAATGGAAACTCTGCTGACCCAAGATGACATGGAGATGAACCATGAAGACAAGCCCTTTTTCATCAGCTCGAGTTTGCCAAAATAACCGCTATTTTAACTACCCCCATTGCAAAATAATTAGCGGGATATTTGGTCTAGAAAATATCCCGAGAAATAAATCTTGGTCTTGCTTCCAAATATCCCGCTATCATTTTTGGAAGATAGCGGGCTAATTTGTGATGAGCGTATCGACCTGGTGAGGACGCAATTTTGAGCTTCGGGATAATATCCAGAGTCTGAAAATAGCAGGTTATTTGGTAAACTCGAGCTGATGAGGACAGGCTTATTAAAATGGCCCTATATAGGGTAGTCAGTGGAAGAGGCAGAAATTGCAGCAAAGGAGCGCAGAGTTAGGAAGCTCCTCTCACGTCAGGAAGTAAGTACATCGGTGATGGGGGTGTTGTGTGTCCGGACACTTAAACAAAACTAAAGCCTTCTCCTTTGCCTTCAGATTTAAGGGAAAATATTCTTCAAATAATACCAACATGAATATTTGTCCTGTATAATAATGTCCGTCATAAATCTTAGACGATTTGTAATTTTCTTCAAATTGCTGGCTTAAACCAACTGCCCGGATACTCAACCTGTTTAGACACACAACATCTGGGTATAATGCCTGGATGTTATCCAGTGAAGTGAAGAGAAGTCAGAAAAGAAAAGAATAAATTACCGTGATCGAAATTATTGCACAGCTTACTTCTGTCACGACCATATATATGAGAGAGAGATTTTATAAGATGATATCAAAGAAATGTTTTTTTTAATGTTTATTGGAACTATGATTATCCCGATTATAGTCAATGATTCTATACAAATACAATGTAAGTGGCAATCATGATAAATGGAATATCAACATATCGAGACATCTACCCATTAATCTGATCATATATTTGAGAAAGAGATTTTATAAGACGATATAATTATTTATTATTAAGCGCTTTTACAGAATACTGATCTGAAACAACGAAAACAATGTTTGTTTTGAACAAGTATACGCACTTAGCAAGAAACAAAATAATTATAGATTGGGCTTAATATTTATAACCAATATAAATCCCCATACAATTCAAACGGGGTCGGCATGAGGAAGGAGAGAGAGAGAGAGAGAGAGAGAGAGAGAGGGGGGGGGGAGGAGATAGAGAGAAAGAGAGAGAGAGAGAGAGAGAGAGAGAGAGAGAGAGAGAGAGAGAGAGAGTGACCGTAGAGAAATAATCTGTGTCATATCTTTTTGTTCTCATATGATATATTCAAAATTAGCATTTCTTCTTTTATAATCAAATTAATAACAGAGTTTCTTTAATGTAAGGATAAGCTGCAGCTCTTCCGTCTACTCTAGACATAACATGGACAAAAAGGTTCCCAGACCTTTTATCCCCCTCAAAATATCCCATTTTCCTGAAATATTAATCCTGTGTATAGTTCTTATGTTTTACGACAATGATTTCGTAAATCCATCCTCCAATTTCAAGAGATTATGATTTGATAGGTTGGTCTTTGCTAAATATAACATGTTCTCGACGGCCGCATTAATCTCCGAACCATCCAAGTGTAATTCGTGGTATATCCTTGCTCTTGCAGGATGAAAGATTTGATAGACGCCTCAAAGACTTTTTATGAACTATCTTTATGAAAGAGTAAATGCTGAAGACCTTGCCCTCGTTATGGAATGATAGATCCATATATCCATACCAGCATTAGTGGTTAAGCTGTAACTTAAACCTTTCAGGATGGGCTTCCGCAAATCACCTTTGAAAGTGACCTGAATTTTCTCCGTTTCTATGTTTAATAACGACAAAACTAAACAACAATTAAATAGGGTATAGATGTAATACTGCAAAGATATGACTATATATAGGGGCTAAAGAAAAGGAAATTTCTGATGATATTTGATGATGATTATTATACTTGAATGACAATATATGCTTGTAAGTAAACACCAAGGGGACCTACCACTTTAAGTCCTCTTCGAGGGGACTTGGTAGTGATTAGTAATGCCTTACCAAAGGGCTCGAGCGCATTGACTTGGTTTCGAACCCGGGACCTCCCGGTTATGAGACCTCTACCCTCCCAGTTGATTCCCGGCTTTTCGATCCCCTGGTCATGCTAGTCTAGTACCTTCTACTTTTACTTTCAACAAACCTTCCAAGAGACTCCGATGTCTTTTACAATGTGACAACAGTTTTTTTCCTTCCTTCCTTTCTATAAGCCCTTCTATATGCAATATTTCTTTGTTTGTTTTTATATCTTTCCATTATTGTTTTCATTCTTCTGCTCACCCAAATTCAAACCGTGTCAAAAGATTTGATTCAATTACCCGCAGGCCATGTCCACGTTTCTGCTCTAATATATTTCTAATAAATCATTATTCCAATCCCGTACTAATTTCCACCTACAGTCATACAATCTATGTCCCCAAGGTCCGCAGCTAGAATACTTGAATACATTTCCATCATCATCCAACGACATGCTCTGCTGTATCTCTATACTATTAACACCACGAGGATTCGATTGTGAGATGAAATTTTTTTTAGATTCTATTCATCTAGAGTGAACTGTTTCTGTGACAGATGAAGTGATAAGGCACGCAAACTTCTCATGAAACCCCGTCAATTGGAACACGAAATCTGCGCAAGCTCTTTTTGGAAAGAGAGTAGACAAGTCATTTGGGAAAGGAACAGGGTCATACATGTATACGCAGACAGGCCTCCGAAAGGTATCACAAATAATATAAACTGTCACTCGGAAAAGATACAGGGCCATATACACCGAGAGACCTCCGAAAGGTATCGCAAATAATCATACTAAGCAGATATGGAAATCTAAGCTCCAAAACCGGCTGCAACATCTGGTGTCGATGATTTCATGCTGAATATCGATATCAAGGGCATATATATACTCATCACAAAAAGAAAGTGGACATTATTTATAATTAGGATTTTTTTTTAAAGGTAGATAATCAATATAAACTTACCATTGATAAATCAAAATAAACATAACTTAATCCTCTGTGAGATGATATGCACTTGGAATCATACCATTTACGTATGAGTGAGCTGAGCACAGCTATTTAAACAATAAACGATTCTCTGAAAGGGGATTGCAAAAATGGGGCATCTGGTCAATAAAATGTTGATAAGCATTCCCATTTTGTAAAGTCAAATTAAACAATGAAAAAAAAAACAATGACGAAAAACACGAAAGGAGATGCAGTTGACTTCTACAGCTCAATCCTATTAATAGTTTCTCATTCTCTGTTGTCATTGTTGAACAATAAAATCTTACAGATGCACATGTTCATAAAATTTGAATGGGGACTTGCTCTATTTTCGCATTAAAAAAAATCAGACCTTTAAACGGTTGATATATAAATGATTATACCCATAAAAGCGTTAACAAATCAGAACATGCTCTTAATTGGTATTGGTAGAATAATATTCTTTATCTAATTTGATATATATTTTATTGCAATTATATATGAAAATTATGAACAATAACGAGTGACCACTTTTATTTTCACTGAGTGTATATACACTGTCGCTCATAAAGGTGGAATATTTTAGTTTTATCCCAATTCATGGAATTATTTTTAAAAATTATTTAAAAATAATAGATCTAGATAATAGTATACATTCTCAGATTTTATTGAATAATAATTTGCCAATGTGTGTTTTACGTGACTGCTAAAGCATGTGTATGCTACTATGCTTATCAACTAGGGGACCTATGCCCTTAAGTCATAAATGACAGTAATGAGGATTAATGCCCCGCAAAAGGGCACTAATATAGCACATCGACACGGTTTTGATCCTGGGGCCTCACAGTTACGAGGCCATTTCTTTGTCACTAAACCATGACTGTACACATCGGGGGCTAGGGTAGGGGGCAGTTTCCACAATTAAAAAAAAACACAGAAAATGCAATAAATTGTCAATAATTTATTGCATTTTACCCCGGTTCCCAACATAAACAATTCTGTGTGCCCATGCCTTGAGCCATAATGCATGGCCGTCCAGAGGATTTTTTATGTTGGGGACCGGGGTAAAATGCAATAAATTATTGAAAATTTATTGCATTTTCTGTTTTTTTTTTTAATTTATGGAAAGTGCCCCCTACCCTAGCCCCGCTGCGTACAGCCATTGTTAAGTGACAAAACAATGGCCTTGTAACTGTGAGGCCCCAGGATCAAAACCGTGTTGATGTGCTATATTAGTGACCTTTTGTGGGGCATTAATCCTCATTACTGTCATTTATGACTTGAGGGCGTAGGTCCTCTAGTTAATAAGCAAAGTAGCAGACACAATGCTTTAGCAGTCCCGCAAAACAAACATTGGCAAATTATTATTCAATAAAATCTGAGAATGTATATTATTATCTAGATCTATTATTTTTAAATAATTTTTAAAATAATTACATAAATTGGGATAAAACTAAAATATTCCACCTTTATGAGCGACAGTGTATATATATATATATATAATATTTATTGAATTGTATTTATTTAGAACTTCCATTAAAAAAAATGTCAAAGAATACAATAAGATATATCTTATAATAAAAGTGCTGGATCATCAAAAATATGATCCTACAAAAAGCGGGGGGAAAGTGATACAAAAAAGAGACAAACAACAATACAATGGTCATTACACAGATAATTCAAATTCAAAGCTGCTGCATCAGCTGAGTATAATATATAATTTAAAATAATAATAATAATAATAATATTTAATTTTATAAAGCGCTTGATACATGTCTTAATACCTCTGCTCCTGCAACAGACAATCTCAGAAGTCGAGCTTGGAGGGTACTTTGATCCATTATTCATATTTTACCATCATGTGCGGCGAATTGAGATGCGAGGTACGATGATGCACATTTATATACAAGACACACCCAGCTTAACAATGTCTCGGCTATGTATAATTATTGTAAAATGCAGTTCACATATGGTAAGACATGCTCAGAAATACAGGAAATAAACTAAAGAGGAAGTGATATTCATCCAACCGGCATAGTTGGGCAATTTTATGCCAAATTCATCTAATGTTACGCATGATGACGATCATCTTTTGGATCATCAAGGGGGCATGGTATTATGCAGAAGAAAACCCACGGTCATACTGGGCACGATTTATCCAATATTAATTTTGAGAGAGCATACATTCTTCAAAATGAACTCAAGCTGAATATGTAACCCTGACTGCTGATACTGTATAGCATTCGTGTAAAAGTAAATTAAAATCGTCAACTGTCAACTCCTCGACTCTGTAATCTGAATGTACCCTAGAAATATTAATCATAATGTACACGGAAATTCCGATGTTACAGAATAGAGCTCAGAAATCAAATACAATGATAACAACACAGATGCTCCTAAAAATATGGACAGTTGAGGGTGTATTTTATGTGCATTGTTGATTAGAGTCCCGTTATCTTCCCTCACATCAGCGTGAGCTATTCATCGCACCTAGCTTAGCGGTCGCAATGCAGCTGTCCTTGCAGTTTTTAAACCCTGTGGGGGTATTCGCACTTCTCCAGTGAATAGCCAAAACTTCCTGTGCAAACAGATGACACAACCGATATGATACCTTTGATAGATCGTCAATTCTGATACATTATTCGATATGATATACAGTGCGTAGCTAGAAATAATATACCCCACTCTTGGAGCTTATGATCAAAAAGTCATAATCGATGTGACCTTGAAATATATTTCATGATGAGGAGTAACTTGTTTTCTTTCTGATGATACACGATTCATAATTTCCCAGTCACGGAAGACTGCCTGAGCACTAGATTTTTAAAGTGCCGTCGAAATCAACTTGTACCACTTTTTGGCTGATACACAACATTTGAGTCAGGCGATTTGCATGTGTTGCTTGGTCCTAAATTCATTTGAAAGTTAAGTTCTGCTGATGTTTAATGCTTCAATGCTTCATCGTTTAAATTGTTAAAATGTTGCCGCATTTAAGAAGGATGCATGAGTTTATAATTGTAAGTGCAGCCCCACTAACAACACAATTCAAACATTGTGAAGTTAACACGCTTTCAATGGAACAATACAAACAATATTTGCTGAGCAACCTTCCACCGTTACCATGGTTACATCGGAATATTAGTAAATTGTCTAGGTCTCCTCAGATTATTATTATTTAATCTTGCAATATATGTATATATATATTCATATTGAGACGGGCCGCAAAATAGGAAGGCGAACGTGATGATAACATAGGATTTATATTTATCTGACCTATTGCATGTTTAAAAAAAACATTAATATTTGCAGAAACTTGAGAAAACAGCTTATTTTAAAGGTATATTGGCAATGGTAGGTATGGTTCTCTTTTGCTGCAAACTGACTTTGAGCCAAGGTGAAGGCGAGTATAAAGCGATAAAAAGTAGAAAAGGAAAAGGGAGAGAGGGGACTGTGATATAGGATATATAAAACAAAGATATGAGCTCTTGCAATATTGATTCAAGTGAAGTTATCAGTATTTGTAACATCTTCATCCACAGTTTGCCTCAAAAATGAAAATGAACTTCCAGTAGATTCTTGGGAAGATTCATAACGGGTACAGGAAACTATCACACCACACCGGTGACTGTAATATTTTTCTAAAACATTACGATTAATGCGTGTATCTCAATTACGTTTAAACCTGAAAAGTTTGGACCTGAAACCGGGAACTGATCACAGCGCCTTAGAGACCACCAGAAGTTTCAAAGTGTATGCAAGGGACATGCATGTCACTGGTGTATGTGCAGGTTGGGCATTATACTTCGACACATAACACGTTGTCGTAAAACAGGTCACAAGAATAAAATATCTTGTCGGCTTCAAAGCATTAAAACATGAAAGAAACTAACAACTTACCACGGATGAAAAGTGTTTTCACCATTCCGGTACGGAAGCATCTCTTGCAATGTAACGAGGGTCGATTTTGTCTACAGGCATAGCATTCTTTAATTAGGACACCGTAGATTAAAAACCTCAGCATGGAATATAAGATGCTTCGGAAGAAAGTGGTGGGCGGTGGAATGGCATCCTGCCACGTTTCATTTCCGCTACAAAGATAATCTGCCGAAATCACCACTTGGCTTAATAACTAGCATCTTAAGATAGCTCTCAAGAACCGAATGAGGAGAAGTCGAAAGATCGAGAAATCAAACGAGCTCAAGATTGTTTACCCAGTCTACCTTTGTGAGGGCGTTCACTACTCACGCCAAGCATCGAGTAAAGCAGTCTGCTCTATATGCAACGCGGTCATCTATTGGAAACTCGTAAAGGTATCCGTCCTTTATTGATTCTTCTAAATCTCATTTAAGTGCACGGAATAAATGCCTCATTTCGTCAACGTCAAAGTATTGGATTGGTGATGATATCATTGTGCCGACTACTTTGTGTCGATTGCAATGATTGTACGGCGGCGCTGGCGACTCGTTTCTTTTATTACATTGACTTGAATTGCAAGGGGTCGCAAATACAGATGCATAACCTGTCAACTATTTTCAAGAGGAGAGAGGTTGCGAATGACAGCTCGCCATAATATGGAGCTTGTCCTATTTGGGGGGGGGGGGGGGGGTAAATAGCTTCCAAGCAGTTACGAATCAATCCAACATTCGTTTTGACGGTTATCACAGGGAACATATTCCCTCGATGCATACCTTGTTCTACTTACATATTTCAGAAGACATATTTCTCTTTTAAATGTTTCTTGTGCATAGTCGAATGAGCAGTGTTGTTTTAATAATTAATATGATCAATTTCGTCATGGTTCATTTATGAGTGTATACTATCATAAAACCATTCTAAAAATGAGGTACTATGATCAGAATCTTTAACACTTCTACTACAACTACTACTTCTACTACTACTACTACTACTACTACAACTACTACTTCTACTACTACAACTACTGCTTCTTCTACTACCACTACTACTACTACTACTACTACTACTACTACTACTACTACTACTTCTACTACTACTACTACTACTACTACTACTACTACTACTACTACTTCTACTACAAATAATGATAATGATAATAATAATCATTTTAGTATTTTAGTATTAATACTGTTCTTCCTACGGGCTCTGCAATTATTATCACCCCGCATTGCTACCAACCTATTCCATAACCCGGGGTCGAGAGGGACAGAGGTGGGTAACACTCCTGGAGCAAAGATGTGAGCACCGATGAAGCCAAATGTTTCATTTTCATTACATTTAATAAATTGTCATTTCCAAACATGAAGTAAACCAATATTATGATGACACCTTGAGGGCATAGTTGATCATCACAAACAATTAAACAAACTTACAATGAATAAATTAATGTGCAACATGACTCGGATCATAAAGAATCAACAGTTACGTATTTGTTTCTATAATGTAAAATAAATTGTATAATTCGATTTTTCTTTCTTTTATTACCAAACACCTGAACAACACAGGACAAGAAAACAAGAAAAGATGTTTTGAAATGCAGAGGGTGATATGAAAGTCAAATGCATGTTAATTGAAGGTCCCTGAATAAAAAGGGCTCATCCACAACCATAATGATTTATTTTAACTATTTATTGATCCTATCAAAACCACTTTCGCGTTTCCATCGTTAATGGAATACGGATTTCTACAATAGAAATGTGAGCATCAACCTGTCATTTCAAAACAATCACATCAATAACCTAGCTCGTAAATATGGCATTCAAATCACGGTCGATAATTAAGCCATGGGTAACACAAACTTCTTTTCAAACAGACCCAAATAATCATTTTGCAATTATTAGACCCCCATTAGTAAACCTGAGTTAAAAGCAAAACAAAAGAGATGAGTTGTTTGTTGTAATGGCGGGTCGATATGTCCCCTGGGCTTGTTCATTGTGGCTTGAGCTCTCTTGAAATGGGCAATTGACTGTTTATAGCATCAAGATCAATTAAAAGAGGTGCTCGTCCTTTACGGAGCGCGAGTGAGGATGTTTGCACAGCTATTTTCATTCCATACAAGTTGAAATATCAGTGGAATGGCCAATATATAATAGTTAGATATGCCTTTGGAAGATGGATGATTATAAAGAAACCTGAAGACAGCTATATACAAATATGTGTAAATGTAGAGTGCAAAATTAGGTGATACGGAACTTACTATATTTGTTTGAATGTACGAAAATTCACAGATTTAATCGTTTTTTTCCAATGTCATTTTATTTGCACAAATTATCACAATCACAATCAGTACAACAGCATTATTGCTTGTTTGTTTGTTAATTTTGTCTTAATTCAATACTTAATTTATCTTATTAAATTGATAAATATGTTTAATATAAAATAGCAATTGGTTTACATTTAAGACGGTATCGCATCTGAAATCATGGGGTTGATATCGGAATTGGAAACATATGACCTTATATTCGTAGTACGTATGTTTCACTGTTCTACAGTGAAAAATCGAAACACGTTTATAAATAATCATTGATTACCAATGACAAAAAAGGAAAGGTGTTATTCCATTTCCTCAGAGGGACTGACAGAGTTTCCACACCATGGAAAGGCATTACAATCGTAGCGGACTCATGATATAAATAAAAGAGGACTTTAAAGGAAACATAAATCTTCTAAGCTAGAAAGGAATAATTATATTAAAGATATTTTATTTTTATCTAGAATAATATAAACATTCGTTTATAAACAACCCACGTGGTGGGATTAGGTATAGACCCAGGGAAACTCAAATAATATCGGTTTCAGTCAGATCAAAACATTGATTTATTTAAAAGAAAAAAAATAGTATGTCAAAACTGTCAACTCTACCTAAACAAATGCTTATCAATACCCCATGACATCGGGTCATGTAAAGATCGGGAGAAAAATTCCTCCAATATTTTACTTTTCCCCTGCTACAAGAGGAGCAATATATTTTGCCATCCATCATGTATCTCTAATAACGATATCGCGGTTGAAAGATACTACAAAACGTTTCTTTTTAATCCAAATAACAGCAACAATGACACTTTATTTGGACATGAAGCCAAATCATTCGAAATTCTCCCTGACACAAAATCCTTTTCTTTAATCTAGATTTTTTAAAAGACACCACCAAAGCACTCGATTTGATTTTTGCCACGTAATGTTTATTCCTAACATAGGTGGATATTGACGAGTAACTTGCTTGGGTTGGTATATAGCGTGTGACTGAATGGTGGACAAGTCCTTCCCTTGCTGCTCTATGTCTGAATACCATTGAAACAACAAATATTATGGATACGTGATTGATGGAATTTCCAAATGCATTAGATATAATTGATGTAATACATTAGGGCATATAAGAGCTGATATTATACAAAGTGCACGAGAAGGCCTAATTCAGATTCATGATTAACACATAACATCGATTCAAAATTAAGATTCGAACTAATACCCCATTTTTATATTTTGCAAAGATATAACGTTCCTGGTATTCTGTGGCAAGAGAAAGAGAGAGAAAAAAAGAGATAGAAAAAAAATTGGGAGAATATACTTGATAAACAAGCATTCCATTTGCATTGTTTTTTTTCTGCCAAGGTTAAGTCATCTTACATATGTCGTACACGAGTCCTGTCTAATCGCGATACACGAGAACGATGTTAACAATCACAAAAACAGGTTAAAAGGTAGTGACAAGCCAGATGTTATGCCATTGCTCATAAAACAAATAACTATTTATCAACGTCCGACATAATTAGAAGATTTGTTTTAATATCATAAAAAGGGAAGTCCAATTTATTAAACAAACAAAAGATTATCAAAAGTTATTCGTGACTTGTAATATTTCAGATGGAATACCTACGTGCCCAAACGTGCCCGTCGGGATTTTCATTTCCCTTTTTGTTGAGCAGGTGCGTGCTGCATGAAACGTATAGAAAGCACTGTTAATATGTAGTGGCAGTGGAATATTCCTGTCGCGTAGTGCATTTTGTATTGTGTCAGAAATACTTTTTTTTATCAACTCAGTCATAACAATAGTTAGGAACACGACTTATGAAAAGAAACGAATTTGAATTTCTGCAACCCCTTACCGTCCTCCCCCCCCATTTTTTTTATTCATACCACGACCACGCTTGTCTCTAATATTTTTTAGTTGATGGGATAAAAATGCAAAGCTCGTTAAGAAACATAATTAAACCAAACCCACTTCAATTCTCTCTGTGGCATCATCATGATCATGTTTCCCATAAAGTATGAGCCATCATCAATGTTTGATTCGTTACCAGCTCCGAATCTGTTTGATCTTGGCTAGATAATTATTATAATAATTAAAATGTTTTGTATGGCGCAAAACACATATGCATAATTTCATGTCTCTATGCGCTTTACAGAACAGAATACAGAAGGAGTGGAAATGATGCACTGGGTTCATAATTGTGAGATCTTACGTCATGTCATGGTTTAGTGACAAAGCAATGGCCTCGTAACTGTGAGGCCCAAGGATCAAAACTGTGTCGATGTGCTATATTAGTGCCCTTTTGCGGGGCATTAATCCTCATTACTGTCATTTATAACTTAAGGGCATAGGTCCCCTAGTTGATAAGCATAGTAGCATACACATGCTTTAGCAGTCACGCAAAACACACATTGGCAAATTATTATTCAATAAAATCTGAGAATGGATACTATTATCTGATCTAGGTCTATTAGAAATAAATTATTTTTAAAATAATTCCATAAATTGGGGTAAAACAAAAATATTCCAACTATATGAGCGACAGTGTATGTTTTCAAATTACTTCTGAACTTTTCATATGTTTCTATATTTCTAAGGTATTCCGGCAAGTTATTGCATTGATCAGAGGCTGCATATGAAAATTGCCATTCCCTTATGAGATTTTATCACAGTTTGTCTAATGGATCACCTGAAATATCAGGGTGGCCATGAGAGTTTAATATGAGACTGGATGAGAAGACAAGTTCCAGTCAAAACCCAATCTCAAATTAGATTAAAGCTCCGGTCATATATTGACTTGATTTTGAAGGTACTGCCTGACTCTCTAAAATGCACGAAATATAGAAGCTCTAAAAGTTGATTGAAATCGACGTTATAGATGGTAATGATGACATAATGTTGACCTAAAACACATCATCTCTATGAGGGAATCCTAGTGATACTGAATTAATGTTAGTATTTTCATGCCTTTTTTTTCGTTTTTGTTTGTTGTTGTTATGCTTCTCTTTTATGAAAAGGGTCGGGGTTTCATATAATATCGACAAAGTTAATTTGTCTGCCTATATGGTGTAAGAGGCAACGCGAAGTCTAAGTAATATACTGAGGAAAATCAGACTCGATCCTCTGCTAGCGTAGGATGAAATTGCGTTGAAAAGAAAACGTCGTGACAGATTAGTAGCAGGATTTAAAAAATGTATATTAACCAAAACATGGTTCACTTGAAAATGGTCAAAATTGTTCACTTATTGTCATCCTTTCACCATGAAACCTTCGATAACCAAGTCCTCTATCTATTAGCAAGTCCGATGAAAGTCTTTGTCTTCGATATCCTGAACGGGCAATAACTTCAGTCATTA